GATTCTCTCTCTCCTTCTGCCCTCTGCCTCTCCCCCAATGGCCCCCCATCCCCCCGCACTAAATAAATAAATAATCAATTTTTTAAAAAGAAATTGATGGGTTAGAAGGTAGGTTAAGAAACTCTCTTGGAAGAAACAGGAAATGAAAAGAAATAGGGAGGCTAGAAGGGGAAATGCCAGTGCCTAGAAAACAGGGGTCCCAGAAAACGAGATAAAGAAAAAGCAGAAACGGATACAACTCTCTGAGCGAAGAAACTATGGAGATGGATTCCTCAGGTTGAAGGAAAAATTAAAAAAACCTTAGATTGGAAAAACTCAAGGGTGCAACCGTAGGATTCCATTTGTATGAAGTTCCAAATGGGCAGAGCCAACGCGCGGCACTGAGGTGGGCATGAGGACACTGCTGGGGCCGCGGAGGGGGCGTCGGAGGCTCGGTGCTGTTTCCGGGTCTGGTTGCTATGTGAATGTGTGCTCAGAAAAATTCATCAAACTGGGGCGCCTGGCTGGCTCCGTCGAGGAACGTGTGACTGTCGATCTTGGGGTCGGGAGTTTGAGCCCCATGTTGCGGGGTAGATTGTACTTAAAATTTTAAAAAAAGCTCATCAAACTATACACAATTTGTGCTTTTTCTTGTATTATGTTATTCTTTGGTAAAAAGCTCACTAGAGCAGGAGAGAACACACTGCCATATAGCTCATGAGTGGAAGAAATCATGATGGAAATAGAAAAACTTAGGACGATATGTATCAATATTTATGGGCTGCAATGAAAACAGTGCTTTGAGGGAAATTTAAAGCCTGAAATATTTATATTCGGAAAGAGGAAAGGCAGAAAAATGAACGAACCAAAGAGCCAAACTAAGATGTTAGAAAATCACAAATAATAAACACAAAGAAATTAGGAGGCTCGTGTTACCCTGATACCAAAGGCAGATGAAACACTACAAAAAAGAAAATTGTAGACCAGCATATCTCATGAATATGGAGGCAAAAGTCCTCCATAAAATACTAGCAAACCAAATCCACCGGCATACTCAAAAGATTATACGCCCTGGCCAAGTGGGATTTATCCCAGGCTCGAAAGGGTTCAGGATAGGAACTTAAGAACCTAAGAAATGGACCAGTGGGATACACAATGTTAACAGAATGAAGAAAAACCCATATAACGATCTCAACTGACACAGAAAAAAACCTTTGGCCAAATTTAACATCCTTTCATGATAAAAAGCACACAGAAAACTAAGAATACAAAAGAACTTGCTGGATGGTAAGGGGCATTGATGAAAAACACACGCAGGTAATGTTGTATCCAATAGTGAAGGATTGAAAGCTTTCCCCCTAAGATCAGGAACAAGACAAAGATGCCTGCTTTCACCACTGTTAGCAAATATTGTACTGGAAATTATGGTCAGAACAATTTAGACGAGGAAAAGAATTAATAAAAGTCATTAAAATTGGAAAGGAAAAAGTACGGCTATCTCTATTTGCACATATCATGATCCTACATATAGAAAAATCCCAAAGAACCAACAAGTGAGTGATTCAAGCTAATAACTTCAGGAAAGTTGCAAGGTGCAAACACAACACACCACAACATCAGTTGGGGTTCTATATACCTGTACCTATAATACACATGAAAAGGAAATTAAGAAAGCTATTCCAGGGGCACCTGGGTGGCTCAGTTGGTTAAGCATCCGACCCCTGGTTTCAGCTCAGGTCGTGATCTCAGGGTCGTGAGATCGAGCCCTACATGGGGCTCTGTGCTCAGTGTGAAGTCTGCTTGAGATTCTCTCTCTCCCTCTCCTTCTGCCCCTTCCCCCGCTCTCTCTCTTTCTCTCTCTCAAATAAATAATTTTTTAAAAAAGAAAGCTATTCCATTAACAGTACCATTGAATTAATGAAATAGTACATATTCAAAGCAATTCTTAGTAAAATAAGGGCTAATAATTCTTAAAAAAAAAAAGGGAAAATAACTACAGCTTGCAAGGATGGGGAGCAATTGGAACCTTCATGCATCACTGGTGGGAAAGCAAATGGTGCATCTGTTGTGGAACACAGCCTAGAGTAACTGGTGTCCATGTGCGGAGAGCTGCAGAAGAAAGGCCTCACCTGGGGGACAGGTGTGTGGAGGGCAGGAGCCCAGAGTGCTTGGTGTCCATGTTGGGAGGACCGTGGGAGGGTGGTGTGAGATCACTGAGGGACCTCCTGTGTTGGGGGAGGGGCTGGGGCAGAGCCCCGTGGACACCCTCACACACACCCAACCTGGTACTGACCGATCCTCTACCTGCAGGAAACTTCCTCCTGCAGTGTCCCTCCAGAATCTTTTTTTTTTAAGATTTTATTTATTTATCTGACAGAGAGAGACACAGTGAGAGAGGGAACCCAAGCAGGGGGAGTGGGAGAGGGAGAAGCAGGCTTCCCGCCGAGCAGGGAGCCCCATGTGGGGCTCGATCCCAGGACCCTAGGACCATGACCTGAGCCGAAGGCAGACGCTTAACGACTGAGCCACCCAGGCGCCCACCCTCCAGAACCTTCTATGAGCATACATAACATTGTGTTCATTGTGCAAAACACACGCTTTCAGGAATTCCATCCACTATGGCAGAGTGGATGTCCACGGGTGAATTCAGAGCCAAGAGGCGATAACTCACTAGTTGAGGGCACAAACCGCCCTGGTGAGGCATGATCTCAGAGACCTTGAATCCCATGAGCCTTTCCTAAGACACCTACCAGAGAATGAGCTTCCCTCACCAGACTGGCTACAGAGACATGGCTAGACGGCTGGCTGTGAGCCCCAAACGCCCAGTCATTCGAGGCTGAAAGAGAAGGTGACAGCAGGGAAGGTCTCCCTGGAGATATCCAACAACTATTTAAAACCGGTGACCCCTCGGGGCGCCTGGGTGGCTCAGTCGTTAAGCATCTGCCTTCAGCTCAGGTCATGATCCCAGGGTCCTGGGATCGAGCCCCGCATCGGGCTCCCTGCTCCGCGGGAAGCCTGCTTCTCCCTCTCCCACTCCCCCTGCTTGTGTTCCTTCTCTCACTATATCTCTCTCTGTCAAATAAATAAATAAAAATCTTTAAAAAAATAAATAAAACTGGGGACCCCAAAACACAATTTAACTGTTTGCACTCATTGTCCTCCTGCAAATGCTGTGTGTGATACGGGATGGAGCAAAGACATAATTTTGGAATATTCTAATTCCATCATGCTCTGTGTCCCTGAGAATGAGGCTTCTTGCCATAGAATGAAAAACATGCCATGTATTCTGTTTACAGGTAAGGAAAAAACCCTCTTGCCTTGAATTTGAAATACTGGTGTTTGAACTCATGAGGCATTTCATCTTTCAAATGATTTACCTTTAAATATTTCCTTGCTCTGTCCACTGGAAAGACCTAGAAACAACACAATAATCGTGAGCATCCCCTGTACCCAGACCGTGGTCTTGAAATCCTTCTCCAACTAAAAGAAACCCGGGAGTTTTAGACAAAGTGCTGACTCCAGGCCTGGGAACCAGATAGCAAGGAGGCTCTGAAACCCTACTTGCCAGGTCAGCGTGTCTCGGAGCCTGGGGGAGACACTCCCGCCGGTCAGGGCAGCACAGTCTGAGCTCCAATAAGGACAATAATAACGAAGAAGTGAAACCCTCGTATACATTTAAATATTTATTTATTTTACCTTTTTATTTTTTAGAGGGGCTGGGGAAGGGCAGAGGCAGAGGGAGAGGGAGAATTTTAAGCTGGCTACATGCCAGCACAGTGCCTGACACGGGGCTCGATCTCACGACCCTGAGATCATGTCCTGAACTGAAATCAAGAGTCGGACGCTTAACCGTCTGAGCCACCCAGGTGCCCCCCACCCTTGTATACATTTAAATCCACAGGAATGACATAATAATTCTAAAACACGAAAACATAATGGACTGGGTCACCTCTGGAGGATGATTGAAAGCAAATTCATTATCCTGAAAATCAATGAAAGAAAAAAATGTTAAAAATTCTGTAAAGGAGGGGCACCTGGGTGGCTCAGTCGGTTGGGCAACCGACTCTTGATTCCAGCTGAGGTCCTGATCTCAGTGCAGAGTCGGCTTGGAGTCGCTCCCTCTCCCCCTGCCCCTCCCCAGTGAGCACGTGCTCTCTCTCAAATAAATACGTCAGTCTTAAAAAAAAAAAAAAATCCGCAAAGGAAAAGCTGGTAAACGTTTCCCCTCCATGTGCTATAGGAACAGCACCACTGGGCAATTGAGTGATAGATGGGGGCATCTCTCTGGAACTATTCTAGACAATATAAGGGAAATAAATGTTAAAATTAAGCTGCCCCCATCGTACAAGCCAGAGAAGAACCAGCGAACCCAGGGGGCCACCATCAGATCGGCTCACCTCAGAAAAGAGAGGCAGCCGGTCCTGACACCTCTGATGAAGGAAGCCTGCCCCCACCTACAGCCGGGCCAGTGGCATTGAACCTGAGTCTGATGGGGCCTCTAGATTTAACTGCTGAATCCCAGAAATTCAGAGGACAACGAGGAAGCTGAAAGGACAGCGGCGCCAAGCTCTGGTGCTGGACTGGAGATCTCCCGAGCTACAGAGATGTAATGTGAGTCTAGCCTGAGCCGGGGTGCTGGGATCCCAAGCAGGGAAGGGCAAAGGGCACTGGGCAGGGTGGGAGCTCAAGGCAGGCGAGGGTGCCTGGTGGCACATGGGGGCAGGAGCAGCCTTCATGGATATGCTATCTTGGCCCCGGTGCTCACCCTTCAGGGCTATGGACTGCATCGCCTGGCCAAGGACCACTGCCTTCCGGAAAGTTCCTTGGGTCAAGCTGGGTCCAGTAGGTAGAACCTTAGTTCTACCCCCTGGTGGAGTCCTGCGCAGGGAGGATGAGAAATAGATACAGCTTCCCCAAGAATGCCTAAAGAGGGGACGATACCACCACCCTAGGCGGGTGATAGAGATAGATACTCAGCCCCACACCTCCTAGGCTACACAGGGACACAGGTGAACTCAGGGCTTCCCTTTGTATGCTTTTATTGGAAACAGTCAGGGTTGGGATAACGGGAGCCACGGGCTCAGTTGGCAGCAAGTATTTCTTGAACCCAGGGCATGAGCTCGGTGACGCGGGCGTACACAGCAGGAACAGAGGTAGAGCAGGTCCCACTGCCCCAGGACACGATGCCCACCAGGGTCCAGGCTCCGTCCTTCTGGCAGACCAGGGGGCCACCAGAGTCGCCCTGCAGGAGGAGAAAGGACTGGTTCCAAAGCCCGAAGCGGGGTGCCAGGTTCCCAGTGTGCCCTGACCTGCCCCAGCCCAGGTTCTGTGCAGAGAAATGACCAGGGTGGGCACAGTGACTGAGCAGGAGACCCTTCGATGTGGGCCCCACGGCAGCCCCAGCTCCGTCACCGACTCCGGGAGGGCCTGGGGCAGGTGGCCGACCCTCTGACCCGGCCGGCGTCTGTACAGTGGGCCGGAAACCTCTGCCACCCCCTCCCCCTCCCCCCCGTCTCCCCCCCTCCGCACCCAGCGGCTGGCGGGAAGATGCCACGGCCCCAGGAAGCCCCGCAGCACGCCCCGGCCAGAGCGAGCCCTGGGTGCGAGGCACCTGCTGGGCGGGTCCCCGGGCTTTGGCCGGGCCAGCCGGCGGGAGCGAGCGGGAGGAGCCGCGCGCAGAAAGGAGCCGCGCTCCCGGCCTGAGCAGGGGCGGGGCGAGGCGAGGTCCGCGAGCGCGGGCGGGGGTGGCGGAGCCGGGCCGCACCTTGCAGGAGGAGACCCCGCTGGCGCCGGCGCAAATCATCACATCGGTGATCTTGCTGCCCCAGAACTTCTGGCACTCGGCGTTGGACAGGAGGGGCAGGGCCGCCTGCTGCAGCCTGTCGGGGGTCTTGTTGGCTGGAGGGACACAGCAGGCCGGCGGGGGTCAGGGCCCCTCCCCCGCCCACCCCACAGCGGCAGCACTGAGGACGCTGGAGGAGGGGCCGCCGCCGAGGGAGCCGCCGGGGAAGGGGAGACCGGGCCGGACCCCGGGGCCCCGAACCACAGCTGGACGTCGGACTCCCAGCCCGGACCCCGGGGCCAGCGGGGCACGGCCACCGGCCTCCAGTCCGGGAACGAGTCCGGCCTGGAAATGGGGCAATGTGGACCTGGCTGCAAGGTCGTGAGGGCGATGCTTGCTGGTACGTAGGTGTTTCTCGGCAAGTTAGTCTTCAAGTATAGAGCGCTTAAGCTCATCTTTTTTTTTTTAAGATTTTATCTGTTTATTTGAGAGAGCAAAGCAGGGGGAGCGGAGGCAGAGGGAGAAGCAGGCTCTCCACTGAGCAGGGAGCCCGACGCAGGGCCCAACCCCAGAACCCCGGGATCATGACCCAAGCGGAAGGCAGACGCTGAGCCACCCAGGTGCCCCAGGAGGGTTTTGAATAAAAAATGGCAAGATTTATGGCTGTGTTGCAATTTAGACAAGAAAAAAAAAGGAAAAGCTACAGGGGTGCCCCCCTGGAGACTCCTGCTACTCAGGCAGCCCCAAGCGCAGACACATCTCCTGGGGGGAAACGCCAGGTCCTGCTCACCATTGTACTTGGTCCTTCCCCAGCCGGTGGTGACACACAGCAAACCAGGGGGGAATTCATCTGTCGCCTCGGGCAGGCACACGGGGGACACGGTCTGGGAAAAGCGGGCGGGCGTGGCCAGCTTCAGCAGGGTGATGTCGTTGCGGACGGTCAGCATGTTGAACCTGGGGTTCTTGAAAACCTATAGGGTAGAGCCAGAACAACAAAATCAAGCCCTCGGATTCGTTGGCAATCTGCAGCTTGCAAGGAGATAAGCTCTTTCTCTGTCGGCCATGGAGGAAACAGACCCACAGGAGCCCGGAATGAGAATTCAGAGGGCGGCCCCACCCACCCTGGGCTCCTACGTCTCAGGCAGCCCAAGGGTCTTGTCCTTCCTGCTTCTGCCCCCAGCCCCTCGGCTGAGCCCCCCAGGCCAGTGGGACAGGGCTCAGGGGTACCTTGGCAATCCTCAGGACCTGGATGTTCTCCTCATCTGAGTGCTGGTTAAACTCCCCAGCCACGACCAGGTGAGACGTGCTAGAGGAATCACGTGGAAGTTAAAGACTAGGAGTGGGCCCTGCTTCCTCCTCACCCCAAAATGTAGCCAGAAGCAGAGCACTGAGCCTGCCCAGGCCTCACCTGACCCCGCAGTGGGCGGCAGTGACCACCCAGTCCTCGCTGATGAGGGAGCCCCCGCAGAAGTGGAAGCCAGTGCTGTCCTGGAGGAAGACGGGGAGGTCAGTGGTGGCTGGACGCCTGCAGCCCCCAGCCTAATACCCCCGTGTGTCCCCCACTCACCTGCAGGGACACCTGCCAGGGCCAGGAGCCCGGGACAGCGTCCTCCCCATTGACGATCCTGGACAGACCACTCAGCACAGGCTCAATGGTGGGGACCCCGCAGTCTGGTGGCGGGGGCAGGAGGAGGGGGAAGAAGGCTGAGGCCCAGGGCCAATCTGCACAACTCGTAGTTTCTTCCAGGCCCGCGCAGGACCCTACACACCCTCCTACCACCCCCAGGCAACTTCTGCTGCAGTCTTCAACCTGTAGGCACGAGGATCCCCACATGCAGCCTGCTAACCCTACTCATGCGCCATGCCCAGGGCCTTTCTGATGAAGGAGCAGAAAACAGGCTGAGAAATCAGACTGTGGGGCTGGACTCCCAGCCTTCTTGCTGTGAGACTTCAGAGTGTCCCTGAATCTCCACTGTTCATTTTCCTCAGTAAACTGGGGAGCGAACAAGGTTCCCCTCTCGGGTCAAAACTCACCTGTTGGATGGGAGGAGATTAAAATTGGCTAACCCCAAGCGCACGGGGAATTTGGAACTAGGACGCCTTGCCAAGGCGGGTAGGAAATGGTACATTCCACCCTTGTGCCCTCACTGAATTTTCTTTTCCAGAGATTTCAGGAACTATTCATGCATAAAGTTTACGTTTCTTAATTATTTTATTAAAGAATTTTGGTTCTGCCCCATACGTGGACACACGGGGAAAACAAAACAAGGGCTTGAGTTGTCCCAGACACTGAGAAAAGATAAGTGTACTTAATATGTCCGTGAGGACCTGGGGAATTCTCGGCACCTGTGCAAGTCAAGTTAGGCTCCCGCAGCCGCCACCGCAGCCCCCTGGGTAACACAGGCTAGTTAGTGCCTGCCCTGCTGCCCCTGGGTAACCCAACGCAGAGCATTCTTGCCAGAACATGTCAGCATACTAATCGCTTTCTTTGTAATAGCAAAAACATTAGAACTATCCCAGGATGAATTTACGCAGCTGACTATAGTGATTACAGTGATGGGGCTCCGCACCAACAGGGATAAATCTAAAACATTACATGGGCGAGAAAAGGTACTTTATTATTTTAATTATTTTTATTTATTTTTTTTTGACAGAGAGAGACACAGCGAGAGAGGGAACACAAGCAGGGAGAGTGGGAGAGGGAGAAGCAGGCTTCCCACCGAGCAGGGAGCCCGATGCGGGGCTCGATCCCAGGACCCCGGGAATACAACCCGAGCTAAAGGCAGACGCCCAACGACTGAGCCACCCAGGCGCCCCGGCACTTTATTTTTTTTTTAAGTAAGCTCCGTGCCCAGCCTGGGGCTTGAACTCTCCACCCTGAGATCAAGAGTCGCAAGCTCCACCGACTGAGGCAGCCAGGTGCCCCGGGCACGTTTTAAAATTGACGTAGCGTATAATACTGTGTGTGAAAGTTTGTACACATTTTGTATGGTGTCTATGGATTTCTAAGTATGTAGTAAATTGGTAAAAACCCACCCAGAAATGAGGCCCAGCAAGCTCGGAATCGGGCTCACCTTCCACGAGGGGCGGAGGGAGAGTGTGGCTTGAGCTGAATCTAGTTTATGTTTTAATTTTTTTTAAGATTTTTTTTTATTTATTCATTCGAGACACAGAGATAGAGAGAGAGAGAAAACATGAGCAGGGGGAG